CTACATCTGAATATCAGGAAACATTGAGTCGTATAGTATTCCGCAACAGCATGGATTCAGTACATGTTAGGGATGTTAGATCACTAGAACTCATCAAGAAAAAGTTCTCACTTTGTAATTTTATTCTACAAATTTGAATTTCTATGTTTTCGCGTCAGAATTGCTGAGTTGACCTTTAGCTTACAATTCCCACTCGGATAATCCTTGGCTATCATTGGTTGATAGATTATTTTAGTACGCAACTTTTTGGCGCGAAAGTGTTACTGATTGATACAATTTATTTCATTCAAATCATGAATCGATTAGTTTTAGACCAGCATTGAGAAACCTAGAAGCACTCGACGACCCACTCGTCTTAGTGCGAAGCTCATCAGCCGTGCGCATCCACGACTCCAGCTCACAGGAATGGAAGCCAGAAACTTTGGTCTCACGTGCGAACGGTTAACCTTTAGAATAATGAGCAGACATCCAGGAGGCTAAACACTAATGAGCACATTTTCATGATTTTCATTATAGTGTTGCAAAGATTGTTGAGTTTCATTGGAATGATGAGTCGACCGTTGTTAGAAGACCATCAGAAACCTGGTGAAGTTGCACAATACCTAGGATCATAGTTAGACGTTTATAATATTGGATGTCGATTCAGTGGTCTAGAGGTTAAGCGTTCACGCAAAGACCAAAGATCCTAGCTCTGACTCCTGATAGTGTGAGTTGCGGATGATCACTGCTGATGACTCCCATACTAGGACGACAGGGCTCTCCGGTATTGTTAGGATATTCATCCAATATCCTAAGAGAATTATTGGTCGATTCCTATTGGCTAATTCCTACTGGTCAATTTTATGGTCGTCCTAGATATCAATGTCACGTGCTCCAATGTTGTTTCTTATTGTTTGTCCTGATTATCAATGTCACTCTAAATGTTACTTCCTATTGGTCGTCTTAACTGTCAATGTCACAGAATTCGATATTGTTTCTCATTCGACTTAAATGAATAAATACGCATTATCTGTAACGCCTTATGACCAGGACCAGGACCCGGTCCCGGATCCCTAGTCCGGGATCCTGATTCTCTTCTGGATTCGGACCTCGTACTTTCTGGATACTTGTAGAATACAAGTTCTACTTCACATTCAAGTCTTCTTATTTTTACTCAATATGGGGGTTAGGATAATCGGATTTGAGTAGCATATCGTGTCACCGGATCCTCGATCCCCGCTCTCGTTTCCGACCAGATAAATTCGTAATAGTTCAAGTATATCAAGTTGACGTGTTTACGTGCAAACGTAACAAGTACTTCCAGGTTTTTAATGATAGTATAACATTGATCAACTCATTATCACAATGACACTCAACAATCCTCACTACAATATCATAAAAAGTAATTTTTTGACAGGAAAAACTTACAACTATGATTTGAAAGCTTATTTTCTCCGTTTCTTTTGTTTCAAAATATAAATCTTTGTATTAATTGTTAGACATCAATAAAAGTTTTTTCAGAATTGCAGTTATAACAGATATATTATAAATACATAAACTCTCTTAAATGAGAACTAATGATATCCAGCTTAGTTATCCTAGTTTTCTACCCCCACAGTATCAATTCACATTTAAACATCTGGATAGTTTAGCTAAAGGTTATTTTCACAGTCTAACACAAATTCGATTACATAAAACTATGTTGTCTGTAAATATTATTATCCCGTTTTGATTGATTCCTTCAGAATTAATTAACCATGACGTCAGTTGCTTCCTTATTGTAAGTTATTTCTTCAGCCAATAGTTAGATATTTGAAATCATCAACCAGTCATTGTTGGACGACCATTAGAAACATGGAAGCACTGAAAGGCCCTTTCATCCTATCATGAGACTCATCAGCAGTGCGCACCCACGACTCCTGCACCTCGCGGGATTCGAGCCCAGGACCTTCGGTATTGTGCGCAAACACCTAACCTCTGGACCACTAGGCCGGCATCTAACGGTGTTATTATCTAACTCTGATTGATCCACGGATTTCGCGCCACCTTACCGATTTGTCTTCGGTAGTTACTGCCTACACCCGACAGGGTTGAACTCCATTGGTCATGTCTTCTCAACTAGAACTCCGAGAATTTCCTCATGAAGCTAGTCACTAGTGAGCACTGTTACGATATTTTGGGGCAGAGTTTTGAAGGTTTGTGTTTTTTTTACATTTGAAATATTTTTTTTCTTTGGTTAGTACTCACACTTATTATAAAGCTCATTCACAGTAATCATTAGCTGTTTCAACACAATGCATATCTATCAACTAGCTTATTACTTGAGAACCGATTGTAAAAGGCGTCTTTCACTTTCAAAACGAATCACTTCATGCTCAGCTATCAAACGGAGAAAGTGAGTAAAAACAAGATCTTCATTCTCAAACGTCTCATTGATTCTAAAACATGTAGTTTAACCAAATGAATATTTGAAAAACTGTCAATAAGTTGAACGAATTAGTTGAATGATAGTACGCATTTAAAACATGGATACAACAGACACTTAAGTAACTTATCAGTTCAAAAAATGAATAATCAGGTTAGACGTATAATTATAGTTCTGAATAAGGAGGAAAGCGTGATCAAAAAATCTTACTGAGGGAAAAGATAAGCTGGGAAAGTTATTTTTTTATATTAGAATTTGAGGTATGTGGAATACTGTGAACTGGAATTCCAGGTAAACTCTCAGACATTCTTTAGCCGAAAAATAATGAAAAACTGCTGATTATCTGTTAATTGAACAACGATTAGATGTTATTATTCGAATAAATTCAGAATTGTCAATTCCAGTGTTATATTCCAAGAGTATTGTGCTTAGAGCGAAAACTACATAATCTGGGCCCAACTTTTAGCTGAATAACTACACATATGGACGACGCAGGTATTCAATGCTTACCGATTCTCTAAAAATATTCATTAGACGATTGTATATGTAGTAAATCTGTTGTTAAAACAACATATTTTTCTATCACAGAACATTTGGTTTAGAATGCATAGTTTTAGTTTCGGCGGGGAGTCCCTCTGGCGCCATTGACAGTCAAAAGACAGAACAGAACAAGAGGGTTGGGCATGGAGTTAGCAACCTCTATACCGTAAAAATAAACGCTTACCTGAAAAAAAAGTAATCCAAACCATCCTAAATCTACCCTCTGAATAGGAAGTTCTTCATTTAGGAAAGTTATGACATCTCATGATGAAAGCCAAGTTCGTTCGGAATTCACGAGGCTGATGCCCCTAATGACAATCAGAGCAACCATTAATTTAGGTAGGAGACCGGGAGATTCAACAAACAGAAAAGGAAAAGCAAAATTTTCCGATACAACACAACATGCACCATCTAAATCACACATGATGGAGATGTCTTGAGGATGTCAAAACCTTTACATATCTAAGCATCATCATTGACGAAGTAAATAGATCTGATGTAAGGGGCAGGATTTCTGCCACTGAAGAACACTGAGAGACCAACACCATAGT